AAAAAAAAAATGAACTTTAAAGAATGGAACTAAAACGGGAGCTCAAAGACAGAGCTCTCCGTCTGGTACTTTATTTGTTTTAATTAGTGAAATAGTTATGAGATCTTTTGTTGTCTTGCATGGTGCATACAAAGTGGATTTTTCTTGGTATGCCGGTTATTGGATGTACCTCTCTGGGGTTGTATGAGAGAGTAATTGTGTGATTGTGACACATTTTCATATAGTAAAATTTTTTATAGTACATGATTTTTCTCAAATTGAAAAATTTTCCTTTTTTTTTATCCATCTTTTTTCTGTGAAAAAAAATCACATGGACAATCGAGGAATTAACTTCAATTCCCATTGGACCATCACTTCATCACTCATGGCCACCACATCATCCTATCACCACATACATTTAAGAGTGAAAATCAATGAAGATATAAATTATAAAAATATATATAAGGATTCAGACTATCCATCTTTACAAGATTGATATATTAAGATAAAACATTTAAGTCTTAGGGCATGCTCGAATAAAATTTCAATCTCATAATAAGTTGAAGTCAATCAATTTTAATAAAGCATTCATAGTTACTATCTACATATTTTATAGGATCCAATGCTCCTCTTCACTATAATTCAATTGTAGTGTATTTCACGCATTGCTTAATATAAGGTCATTGCATGTTAAGCTCAAATGAACAATCCTATCCGATAAAGACTTAAACAAGCATAGAAATTTTAAAATTAATGTTTTTAAGTGCTCCATCATCTAGTGACTACATGTTAAGGATAAAAATTCTTCATCGAAGAAAGGTGTCACTAATAAGAGTAGCATTAAGTGTTAACTGTTAGATATTTTTCATTATTTTGTATGTATTTATTTTTTGTTTTGNAAAGGTGTCACTAATAAGAGTAGCATTAAGTGTTAACTGTTAGATATTTTTCATTATTTTGTATGTATTTATTTTTTGTTTTGGAAATGATTTGCCGCTTCGACTAGTATTTGCCGCTGCACAACGAGGATCGACCTGCCCGGTCAGGTCACGGGGGGCTTGGGGGCAACGCCCTCGAAAGAAAATTTTATTTTCGAAAGTCTTTGAATAGGTGCATCTATTCAATTTTAACAGTTACTTCCAATAGATGTGTTCTTCATTTCAAGGGACACACCTATTCAAACGGTTGCCTCAATTTCTATAAATTCTGGGCGAATTCTCGTTTGCAAAACACATTAAAAAATTATTCTACTCTCTTTCTTTTGGCATCATCGGTTCTTTTTGAGTGTCTTCTTGATTTGATCAAATAGTCACAATTTGAATCAAATGCCTCCATTGTATCCTGAGAGAGATTTTCTATTATACTCCAATTGTGACTTTATTGGATAGGGGAGAAATATCTCTTAAAAGATAACGTTTTTCGTGCCTTGGAGTTCATTAAATTTTCAGATTTCCCTACATTTTTCTCAACATTAACAAGGATAATATTTTTATATGAAACCTCTAATTGTAATACACACACCATCCCATCGGCAAACTTGTCACCGCCACCGCCACAATCATTCTCTAGTAGTGGCCAAAATCATCAAGCATTTACATATAAATCAATATGACAACCAAATACTTTCAAATATTGAAGATTTAAATTACAGATCAAAGAGAGAATAATACTAAATCATTGTTTGATAGAGGTTTAATAAAATTTTATCAACTTTTAACTGGTCACAATTTCAATCTTAACCACAAGTTTCATGAGATAATCTATAATTTTTATTAACTTTTCAATCACACAATATATTCACTTTTTATCAAAATTTGCTAAAATTTTTATCAAAATCTTTCTCAAACAAACCTAAAAATCCGAAACTTTTGCATGTAATAACAAATAAGTTAAGGTCATGGTCTTTCTTACAAAAAGTTGTTCGAAACCTTTTAGATTTGTAAGTTGTACTGATTTGTAGTATGACTTTGATAGTTTACTCTTGTCAAATACCACAATCATTCAAAATCTTTTAAATTTGTAACAAAAATCTTAATATAACATGAGATAGCATATCGTCGCTTCCTCTTTTTAGACTTGAAATCATTCAAAAATATTTATATTTATAAAAAAAAAAATTATAGCATATCCTAATCTATGGTCAAACGTGGTCGATGAGGCCATGAATTGTTAAAGTCATTTTTCATATCGTTTGTAACATACATACATACCTCTCAGTCTAGTCTACACCACATTTCCAGGTGACCGAAACTGAAGACCATAATAATGCTAAGAAATGGTTAATTCAGATTATAATTTTAACACATTATCTATTAGCTACTCACATGTTTGACGCACATAAGGGACATAAGACAATATTTATATTCAATGAATAATTAATTATATTATACTACATTTTAGTTGCAATGAATGTTCTCATCTTATTCTCATTTTTTAATTTATGTTCCTAACTTTTCCATCGCATTTTTTGTCCTTAATATTATATCATTTAGTTCCGTTGTCTTTAACGATAGTTTTCATCCAAAAAAATCGTTAGAAGGGTGTAAAAAAGTTTGTTCGTCTCTCATATTTTTAAATAAACAAAATAAAATAAGAAATATAAAAATTTGACAAAATATCTTGCAACGAGTAAAACCAACACGAGTAGATGGTGAAGTATAATATATATCCCTCATTTCAATGCATGCTCGCAAAATATTTGAATAGAAAGTGTGTGTGTATATATATGATGACTTTCCTAATAATTAAATTATAATGCAGGTAACAAAAACTACGTTGCAAATGTAATTCTCATATTCACATCTTGAAACGCTCTAAGTTTTCCAGATTTGAATTTGATTTATATCCAAATTTTCAAAAAAATAATAATAAAAAAATAAAAATAAAAATTTTCCAGATTTGAATTTGATTTATATCCAAATTTTAAAAAAATATTTTTTTTTTTTTTGATGGATTGAAAACTTAAATTTTGACAAGATCAAACTGTCAGGTCGTATCTTGACTGGGTAACATTGATAAAGAACCTTTATACGGTTTGACAAGATATAAATTTATATGAATTTCCATATTCAATTGTAATGATTTCATGTTCCCAAGTTAATCTGTAGTTTTCACAGAGACTTAAATTTAACCAGCTTATAAGTTAATTGACTTGATCATATTCAAATAATTGTTCTTTGAAGCAACGGTTTCCTATTTGTTAATTGGATACAAAGTTTTGACAGAAGAAAAAATCAAGACGACTGTATGGTCCGTCCATGGAGATTTAATAATTTCAGTTCCATTAAAAAGAATTTTGATTTAATTTTGCGTATACGTATATATAGAAATTATCGTCCGAAGTAGACGAAGTGATCGTAGCAATTCATTTTTGAATCTTGTATGTCATTTACCGAGTCCACAGCAACTGGGAGAGAGAGTTAAAGAAATTCATAATTCAGAATGGATCAGGTCAACAAAAATTCTAGTCAACATTTTCAACAAAATCTAAATTCTATGATATCTATGTTGTATGACATGAACTATAAATATAGGACCATGTTTTGATCCTTTTACCAAATACCCAATAAAAAAAATTCTGAACTAAGGACAAGAACAAATGGCTTTACAAATGTCATCCATTACTTGTTCTTCAAAGAAAATTAATGCTTTCATCGATGTCCCTAAACTGAAAATGTTCAGAACAAGACATGGTTCCATCAACAGAATTGCCATGCAAAATGTACGTAAAAATGCGGTATCATTCGATAACGCAGGCTTTTCCTTTGTCGATGCCCAAAAATCAGTTGGTGAAGACATATACCAACAGAAATATTCGGTTGAGAATTCGATGTGTACCGGAGAAAATCAGAGACAGATGCAAACTATCGAAAAATGTGGAAAGGATAATGATATTGCCATCGCCAAGCTACATGCAATATTAGAGGCGGTGGCCGATCGAGTGGAGATGCATACGAATATTGGCGAGCAGCGTGATAACTGGAACTCACTTCTCTTGAACTCTATTAACATGATCACTCTCACCGGCACAACTATGGCGGGACTCGGCGCGATCGGTGGGGTGGAGATGCCGGTTTTAGCGTTCAAATTTTCGTCGTGTCTGTTGTTTTCTGCAGTTACAGGGATGTTGATGGCGATGAACAAGCTTCAGCCATCACAACTAGTCGAAGAACAGCGCAATGCTTCAAGATTGTTTAAGCAAATACACAGAGAAATCGAGACTCTACTGGCTCTTGATCATCACCATCTCAATCAAACAGATGTGAATAATATGATGGAAAGAGTTTTAGCTCTTGATAAAGCATATCCACTTCCTTTGATTGGAGTTATGCTTGAAAAGTTTCCAGCCAAATTAAAGCCTACAGTATGGTGGCCACCTCTAAATGATCTATACCAAAGAGAGAGAAGACTAGAAGATCAAGAAAGAGACTGTAATGGATGGACTGAAGAAATGGAAAATGAAATGAGAGAAATTATTGATGTTGTGAAGAGAAAAGATAAAGAAGATTACATAAGATTAGGCAACATAGCCCTGAGGTTGAACAAAATTTTCGCTATTATGGGGCCTGTGCTTACTGGGATGGCCGCTATCGGATCAGCTTTTGTGGGTTCCACTTCTTTGGCGATTTATATTGCAGTCGGGGCCGGCACAATGGCTACCATTGTGAATTCTCTTGAGCATGGTGGACAGATAGGGATGGTTTTTGAAATATACAGAAACGCTGCAGGTTTCTATCAGCTTTTGGAGGAATCAATTGAATCCACTCTTGAAGGAGAATTGGAAAGGAGAGAAAACGGGGACTTATATGAAACAAAGGTGGCTTTACAATTGGGAAGAAGCTTAAAGCAGCTCAAAGAACTAGCCATGGCATCAGCTTCCCCGAGTAAAAATGGAGAGACCATTGAAGAATTTGCAAGCAAGCTCTTCTGAGTATTGAAATTGGAAACATTCTTCATTAATCACCATTCATTCCTTTTTTCGATTTTTTTTCTCATTTAATTTTCTTAATTCAAAGAGTCGGTGTTTTTATGCATGAATCTGTGTTTTCATAACCCCAGTATCTTCCTGTTGTATTCTGTTGTTTAAGGTCTTCTGCATGTAAAACAATAATGGATTCGAGTCCAGTACATTGTAACAAAGATGCCCTACAAGTTCAATTTCTAGTTCACATAAAACAAAGTACTTCATTTAACTTGGCAAACTCAACAGTAATGAAGATCAGAACTGATTAAAGCATCTTTAGTATTACTGAAAAACAATTCAGATATGAAAATCTGAAAATTTCAGGAGCCAACAAACAATTAAGATGGCTTGTAGTACTTTGTGGGTACAAAAGGCATTTTTGTAACAGCTCCATCATAGGACTTACCCCTAATGATAATTTTTACATTGGTGCCTGCCTTGTGGAGTCCAGATTTCACATATCCCATGGCTATGTTTTTCTTCAGACAGGGGCTAAACCCTCCACTGGTGACTTCCCCTATGTTTTGCCCCTTCTCATCCTGAATTTCACTGTGACTTCTTGGAGGTGGACCTGAGGAGAAAAAACCAACTCGCCTAATGGATGGTCCCTGTTCGATTTGTTTGAGTATTACTTCAGCACCAAGGAATCCTCCTTCAGCCCGTCTTCTCTTACCTATGGCCCACGTAAGTCCTGCCTCGACTGGTGTGGTGTGCTGTTCCATGTCATTTCCATACAAGCACAACCCAGCTTCCAGTCGAAGACTGTCTCGGGCGCCTAATCCTGTCAACCGTACTTTGCCTTCAGATTTCTCCAGTATAGCTTTTGCCAGATCAACTGCATGCTCTGAAGGAACTGAAATTTCAAACCCATCTTCACCTGTATACCTGAAAGTTCATAAACTTGACTGACTCATGTTTTGAAAAACCCGTGTTTTTTTCTCCAACAAAAGGGTAAGAGTTCAAAAGCACGAAGAGAGAAAACATATGACATCAGTGAGGAGGGAGTGAAGGGAAATTTACTTCTGATAATTGCAGAACAATCTGGAAGCAAGATGAAATAACAAAGTTATCAATTTATGCCAATCTAATCAACCCTGCCATGGCTTTTCACTGGACTTAAGATTTTTTTCTGGTTTATCAATTCTATTTCGGAAAGATAAAGTAAACTGTTGGCATAACTCCCAGAAGGTAAGTTCTCATTATGCCCTCTCTTCACATAAAGACAGTGATCAACAGATACAATGTCCAGAAAGCAACATACCCTGTTCGTGTAAGAAAGCAAGGCACCCCATTGATATCCAAGATCCGAAAGTCGCTAAAGTACACCTTGCTCAAATCTTCCTTTGTCAGGTGCTGTAGAGCTGTGGCAGCAAGGGGACCCTGCACCAGAAACGTCAAGGGAAATAATCAGAGTTAGAGCACAAGTTGAAAATCTCAGTGTCTACCTCCAATTATATGCAGGGAAATAAAGAACCGATGAAGAAAAATGTACAATAAAGAAAGACAACTGACTCAAAGAAATCCAAGGACAAAATATATCTTCATTTAGAGCAACAGAGCAAGTGAATAAATTCAGCACAAGCGAAGTGAAAATAGAATATAGACCAGAAGTAGACTCAGTGTTCCCAGTGACCTACCAATGCATTCAAGAAGCAACCACAGTAGACAAGCTACTTTACATCACAGAATATTGTTATTTGTGATGCCTATGTTAGCACAGCAAACACTTAAGGATACAGAGTTATACTGCATTCTTCAATAAACACTACATTACCAAAATTGTAAGCAAGAGCATGGGCAAACATCTGCGAACAAGGCAGGACAAGGAAAAAAAATATAAATGTGAGATATGATAAAGAGGCAACAAATATCATGATTATTGATCTCGACATTTTGGCCAGCTACGATACACGAATACCACAATGTCATTATGTAAAGCAATCACTTTTATTAATATATTTGAGTTTTTATAAGGATAGGGCCCAATTCATGAATACCATTCATGTTCAATAGCATTAAGATTAAAGTTTTAAATTTTATTATCATATAATATCCAGATTGTAAAGTCTATTTTGTAATTGGCAATTTCCTAAGACAAAAATCATAATTTATTAGAGTTGTATTAGGATTTGATTATATTGTAATCAAAGCCTGAATTGGTTTAGAATAGTCCAAGTTATGGTAAGTATTGTTTGGGGTTGATAGAGTCCAAAATGAAGTCAAAGAAATACAAGAAGAAGATCAAGATTTGGACTTAAAGAAGTTGATATTGAGAATTACTCATTTCCACTAGCCTGCCGCCCAGCAGGCGCTCTAGAGATAGAAACAGAACATCTGTTGCCCGTCTAACACTAGACTGGTGCTTGAGCGACAAGCGGGCCGCTCACCTTGCGCTCAAGCAATAGTCGACATCCAGAACTCCCTGTTTGCAAAAATCACCCTTTCCATTCCAAATACTTTTCCCTATATATACTGACCAATAGACATCACATAGTGTGTTGAATCCCAAAGGAATCAATTCTTTGATAATTCAAAACATCCACTGATTTCAAGATTCAACCACCACATTACTTGATTTATAAATTCTTCTAAAACATATATTGTTCCATATTAAACCACAAGATCAAAACATGGGAGGTCTTTTGATCAAACACCAAACCACCTGAGATAAACAATACCAAGGATCGGGAGATGGTGCAGAAACATGTAGTCTAGGAGGGCTAAGGTTATATACCAAGGGTCGGGATTAGTGTGAGGAGCACGCAGTCCAAGAGGGTCAAGGCGATATTCCAGGAGTCGGGATCTGGTGTAAGGAGCAAGCAGTCCAGTAGGATCAAGGGTGACTACAAGAAAAGAAGGCCAAAGGGTATTAATGGTTAGTCGGGTCTAGACCATACTGTAAGTTGTTTCGTTTATAGTGGATTATTGACCGGCAAAGAGCCCAGAGTTTTTGACCCTTTGCGAAGGGTTTTCTCCATGATCAATTTGGTGTTCTTTATTGCTTTTGTATTACAAATTGTAATAATTTAAAATAGGATAAATTGACGTGATTGATTAACCACCTAAAAACAATTGAAAAGTGACTTATTACTTTTAGTTGCTAATTTTAATTCCATTGTGCATGTTCTAGAGTCTAAACATTATCTAAATCGATTAATAATATTGATTAGGTTAACTTTCACAGATAAACACCGAAGAAAAGCAATAACTCACTTGGAGAGCCAGAAGAGACCGCTCATCGTGGATGTGCCACGACACATCCCCACCTTTCAACGTGAATGCCTTCATATGTTCCTCAATATGAGCAAGATCCTTGTCTCTGCATCCAGCATTCACGACCAAGTATATGTGATCATCTGTCACCTTGGTGATCACTGAATCATCAATAGCCCCTCCCTTCTCATTAGTGAAGACTGTCAGAGTCCCAGTCCCAGGTGCAAGACCAGCAACATCGGCAACCACCAGCTTTTCAAGAAAAGGAATGCAATCCTTTCCTTTGAGGCTTAGACCACACATGTGAGCAACGTCAAATAGACTGCCATTTTCCCTGCAGTTTAACGTAGAGTCCATAATTGAGTCCTTGTATTGGATTGGCATGCTCCAACCAGCAAATGGAACCATCTTCCCCCCATTGGCAACATGGAAATCATAGAGAGCTGTCTTCTTGAGCTCAGTTTCTGATGCAAAGCATCGACGAACTATAGTTTTCTTATCCTGAGCCAGACGGCGAGTAAATGATTGACCAAGTTGCCACAACCCACCTCCCCTCATCTTTGCAAATATCTGATCAAAATAATATTGGCTTTATTAGTTAAAAAGCTAAAGGGGATCTGGAATCAAGTTTTGATGGCGAGTAGAATCAAAAGCTCTTTGAATGTAAAAGAACGTACTAGAATTATAGGTTTCAGATAATCAAAATCAAATCTCTTTCTTGGATTCAGGTTAGGAGTATCATCAACACACATAAATTCACAAATAACATAAGATGCAACTTCAATGGTTGTAATCCCAGATCTCAATTTGTACATTCCATTTGTTTCAGGAAAACAGATCTTTCCTACCCAGAAAAAATAATGGTGATAAACATACTGATAATCAGAAGAGACACAGTCAACAAGAAATTCAGAACGCTTACTATTTGAAAACACTAAAGGAAATTCTTATTTTTCTTGAAAATGGCTATTTTTTTATTTTTATTTTTTCTCGAAGAAAGGTTATCTGAATATACCTTCGGCTCTGGAGAGAGCAAGAACTACTACTGTCTTTATCTGAGCGTGGAACGTATTATTTATATAGATTTGTCACAAAGGATCCAATCCAGACCAATCCTCATCGAGTGGTGCTACGATTTTCGATCACCCAATTTTCTTGGCTGCTTCTAAGGGAAAGGTATGGGAGCCGGACTTGGCAAAGATATTTTTGTTGTCTATTTTAGTCCTTTTCCAAGGTATAGGTGCAAATCAACTGGAACACATTCAATTTTTTTTTCGATGCATGGTGAGTGAGTTTGTATTGGGCATGCATCAAGCTGCTTGTCGGCTCGACTCGTGCCTGAGATGTGCAGCGGTTTTCTTGTGTTGACTCACAAGCCGAGCAAGATAGCTANATCAAGCTGCTTGTCGGCTCGACTCGTGCCTGAGATGTGCAGCGGTTTTCTTGTGTTGACTCACAAGCCGAGCAAGATAGCTAGCTAGTGAGCTGACAATCTTGTCGACTTATGTACGAGCCAACTCGTTTCTTCAAGTCCTCAAATTTCTTGGGATCTTCAAAAAGATAACTTTATAAATTTCAATACTAGTAATGATATTGATTGTGAATCATTCAAATGCCAATTCCTTGCTTAAGCATTTCCTATACCCTTCTTACCATGAAAAAGAAATAACATCTAAGGTTCTTGAGCCGATAACCTACTTTCGACCAGTCTAACCTCCTCCGACCCTTGAGACTAACAAGGGTTGCATTTTCAATAAAAATATAATAAAATTACACAAGCAAGCTCGACTGTCCCACCAAGGGATGAGCCAAGTTATGCTTTGGTTGAGCGAGTTAACTCGCCCATCTAATACCCTTGTCAACAAGAAAAAAGTAGCCGGGGAAAAAAAAAAAAATTTCAAATTTTGTTCGTGGTGTGTACAAGCACAGTTTCGGCATATTCATCTTATCAATTTGCTTATATTTCATTTAGAACTTATTGTATATTTTATGTTCTAGGCTTAAATGTGTTGAAACAAATAAAGAATAAGAAGTCCCAAGATTTGTTTGGGTTTATAACTGAAAACAAAGTCATCATTATATTCAAATTTGTTTAAAAAACAATTGATCCCAACAATCAAAAGCATTAAGAAAAAATTCTCATTCTAGGTCAAGAAAGCATGGACCAAACACCTTAGGTCAACCTACTTTACATCTCTAAATGAACCACGTTGTAATAAAAATAGCTACCAAAATTTTCAAAATAAAAACTTGGAAAATGGCCGTACAAGACAGTTAACGGTAGCCTATTTTATAAATAATACATATTCTACTATAAAAGAAAATGGACAAAATAAGAAATTACATATGATGGGATGATAACATGGACAAAATCTCCCACAAAAAAAATTAGTTCACATTACATGGTCCCTGGGTCATCAACAAATAAATTAAAACAGGTTTTGATCAAAAAAAAAAAAAATGTACATGCTCAAAAGTGATTAGCATAAATCCATCACATGGTTGTAGAAGGAACAAGTGAATCGCAGTTTTTGAGCACTTTCCTAGAACGCCAATGGACAGCTGCAGCTGTTTCAGACGTCCCCATCTGAAAAATAGTCGAAATGAACGGTATGAAAGAGCATAATAAACTAGAAACTAGATGAGAGTAATACCTCTATCCACCAGAAAGTAGAATTTTAGAAATTCAACAAAAGAGTACACCACAGAGCTACTGAAAGACACTTTTCCTAAAGATGGATGGTTCCCTTCAACAGACAGGTAAGGTAGTTCACGGGCTTCCAATTAAATTGGTGCTTGAGAGTGATTACCCGATAACTGAAGCATTGATGAATTTCTGTGGGGTAGCATGCCCGTAGAGGTTTCAGAGGCTTGAAAATGATTAACTTAATATTTTTACTTGTATTATTGGTTGTTTGTATTTTTATTCCAAGAACAAAATAGAAGTAACATGATTATGGTATGGCATCTAATGCAGGTCTCTATTCTTTTGCTAATTGCTTCACATCTATATGATTTGTACCATGAACCTGAGACGAGAGAGAACAAGAATTACCTTGATTTCCATCGAATAATAGTCTTGCCACAAGCGTGCATCTTGACTATAAGTTGAAAGTGCAGATTCATACAATTTCCGAGCATTTTGTAGACAACTCTTGTCCCCAGCAGAGGTGAGGTTCAATTCCAGCTCAATGCAATTTCTATACATAGCAAGTCCTGGATGAGGTAAAGTAAGAAATCTGCACTTGCACAGGGTAGAATGTTAGATAACCCCGAAATGGTTGCTCTGTACATATATCACAACATAAGATGCTTAAAAATTTATAATTCAGCAACCCACCGTCTATAAATTTCTCTTGCAGCCTTTGCTCCGTCCCTCTGAAGAACAAAATTTACAATGGCCGAAGAGAGAGAAAATCCACTATCACTTCCACCATCTTTGGCCAATAAAACAATAGAAGTCTCCACCAGCTTGTCAAAATGATGTCTTTGGTTTGCAAAATACTTTAGCCCCTGCAAATGGAGAAACGTAAATGACTCCAAAAGTTGCCCCTCAAATTAAAGAATGCACTTTGCTGCAACATTTTCAATAATTTATACCATCCATTCTAGCGACATTCATATATAAGTTAAAGATTTTTCAGAAACATGGGTTTATAAGCAATTAAATAAAAATAAAATTTCTGAATAACAATTGGCAGACGCCTCAATGTTGATAAAACGAAATCCAGAAATTTTGGCTTGGAAGAACCAATTTAACCACCTCACCAATCCCCCCATCCTCAATCCAAATCCCATCTGAAATAAAATTGATAAATAATTTTAATATAAATAATGATAATGAAAGCAGCCATGAAAGTATCCCAAGCTAGAGCCTGAACACATAAACTGGATAGAACACCGTGCATCAATTATTTGTAAGCATATGAACATAATTTTGACAGAAGAAAGCAATGAAAAGTTCTGCATACCATTAGCCACAGATTTTCAGCTTCTGAAATGCTCACTTTCTTCAGAACATCAATTAGGAGTGTAAAGATGGATGATAGATCAGCCTTGCTAGTAAAAGGCAATTTGTTTTGAATGTTTCTCATTTCCATTGAGAGACACAAAGTCCATAAATGCACTGCATGTGAAAATTTTCCATTACAAAGCTTTCGTATCAGCACTTTAGCTTCCTCAGATTTTCCCAGTTGCAACAAAAATGAAACATGCTGACAAGCAAGATCTTCAGTAATGCAACCAAGACTTTCGGCCTTCTCAAATACTATTTGAAGACGTGAAATAGGATGAAGAGAATGAGCAGATGACCAGGAGTGAACAGCAGACATTTTATCACCATTTTCATTTTTAATTGCATCCATGAGAAACTTAACATATAGATTGAACATTGTAGCTGATGGCACAGTTTCCAAACTCTCCTCATAAACCTGTATGTGAGAAAATATGCAAGGTGAGTTTCATATGTTGATAGAACAGGGAAGATATCGAATGTAAAATTAATAAAGAGATGATCCAGATCCCTCATGCCAATTTAGCATTATTCAATGTGAAGTTGAGGTAGTGCTAAGAATGAGCACTAAACATCTCTAGCTTAAGATAACCAAAAGAAGGCTCCCGGATAATGACTCTAACAAATCCTAAGAGGACACATCAAATGTATTGAAACCCAGAAGGAAACATTCTCACACAAGAAGATTCATCTTTCCAAAATTTGAGCCCATGCTAGTCTTTATTGTAAATGCATGAGATTTTATGTCTAAACCTCAAGATCCATATTAGACACCAAGGTGGAATAATCAACTAAAATAATAATAATAATAATAATTTCATAACTTGAATAATGAAGAAATAGACTAACCAGTCAGACGTAATTGCTACTTATTACCAAATTCTTATTTCTTTTAATCACGAACATGTCACACAAACTATCACGTGCTCTCCAGTATCCGTCTCAGTACATCATCAGTTGACTAAAGATCAAATGTCCATACAAGTTTTGTACACACAATGATATATAACAAAAGTAATAAAAGATTATGTACAAGATATACCTGAATTGCTTTGCTTAATTGCTTTTGTTTAATTTCTTTAAAGTCAGCTGTTTCAAGTCTTGCAAGCCAATCCCAGTATTTCGGTTCTCGCAAGAAATCTTTTTTCATGTCATTAAGTATCTCATTTCGCATATCTTCTGAATGGGTTAAGTTTGTTGCTTCCAGTATCTGAATGAACTTCGTTCTCAGGGTGAAACTAGAAGGTAGAGCTTCAATTGCACTATTATAAACAGTATGAAGAACATTTAAACCATGTTCCCTGAGGACGTCTACCTTCTCCTCAGACTCACCATCTTGGACACCAGATGTCTTACTATCATCTTTCCTCTCATCAAGGGCCATAAATAATTCATTGTTCTCATCTCTCCACCGTTCCTCATCAGCATCACAAGTATCCTTAGTCGGGGTTCTTTCATCCTCCCCTAAAGCAACCTTTCGAGCTTTTAATTTGTTAAGGTATGTAAGTTCCATGCGAAGATACTCTACCCAAAGATCCTCAGAAGTCGGGCATGCTCTCAAACCACTTTGCATAAGAGCACGAGCAGCTGTGACATTCAGGTTGTGGTCGAATTCCCAAGCAGCAGCATAAATCCAAACGCCGGGCAATTTTGGATGAAACCTAATTACTTGGGCTAAAGCCTACATAAGATAACATCAAAATATAAGGAATCTCTATATAATGTTGGACAGACAACAAAAATATTTTACTAGTTTAAGTTGAATCCAGGTTATGTACTACATCCATTTCCAGAGCTAGGTACAGCTCTGAAACTGCATTGATTCACTGCACCTCAACCCTCAAATATTAGATCCATATTAATCCATCATTACAAATTCATTAACCTAATTCTAATAATAAAAGGCAACAAAAGAATAATTTCAGTTCCACTAAACAAAATGAATAAAAAAGAGTGATCGCAGGCGGATCCAGGATTCTATTCCAGTGAGGGCAATGACTTAGTAAAATTAGAACCAGACAATTATACAAGGTAAAAATGTTATAATACGTTTTTATTATATATTACAATTGTTCCATATAGTTTCTCATAATTTGAAAGGTTTTTTAATAACCTCGTTATCAATATAGCGCTACCAAACTGTTATTCTTCTATTGATTTATAATTTGATTGTGCAGTCGATTATTCACAAAATTGATAATAGGCAATAGTCTCTACATAAAGAGTAGCACTGAAAAATTTTAATACCAAAATGGCAAAATCAAAACATTTAAAATAATCGGTATACTTTTTCTTTTTTGTCACAAAGAACTTTTATGCAAGATAACCAAGGCCTTACAATCCTTCTAACTCTTTGCTAGGATTCATATCAATTAAAATTTAATTATTATACCAATACTTTGCTATTTCCTCGTATTCAACTTCAAATGTGCTATAGTTGAATAATCTTATTTTTTTCTTTCCAACCAATAAACAGGAAATTAAAATTTTAAGGTAAACTAATCATATTTTTACCAATATAATGACCATAAGCGTGAATTCAATAGGAAGAAGATTAAAATCAGAATATAAAGAAACGAGATTAAATGAGCAGTTAACTTTATACAGTGTCAATAATCAAACCAAGTATTGTTCGTCAAAATTAAAATAAAATTACACAAATTTATATTAGAAAATAAAAAATAGAGACCAAAAACAGTGAATCTTGGCTGAAGTGAACTGAAAGGCAAATTTAAAAATTATGTATTGGAAGTTGAGGCTTGAAGGAGGGGGTGGAATAAACGACATTTCATCTGATGAGGGGTGCTTTGAAGTAACTAATGCTTGCATATAGATTGCTTGATATATATATATATATATATAGATTCATAATGTAAAGATCACCTTTTTCATCCTACCGTGCCCCCGTGCTTTACAGAATTCCAAGTACTGGAACCAGAGCTGAATATCACTTTTGAATCGGATTGTCGCGAGTCTGTAAATTTCTATAATCCTAGAAACACCAGCGTAATCTGAGACGGATTTTTTCGTTTTCTTGTTGCCGGAATTCTTTGAAAGGGATTTTTTCCGGAGGAGGCGGAGGGCATCGAGTTGTTTTTCATAGTCAATATAGGCTAAAAAATCCTGCTTCAGTGGGCTTGGCCGCTTGAGCCTATACTCAAACTTGCGACGCTGCTTGACTATCTCTGCTATCTCACGGCGGCTAAACAAGCCGCGTCGCTCCAAGTCATCTAGCTCGTCGAGCATACGCTCCAGCTTGAACTGTACCACGTCCGCCATTGTAGGATAATGGTGTGCCGGCGTGCGTTTTGAGCGCGTGCGAGAGAGAGGTAGGGGTTTTGCAGCAGGAGGAAGAAGTAGGAGGACGAGGTTATAGCTAGTGGGCTTATGGAGGAGCTAATCTAGGGTTTTGAATCAAAATCCAGTCCGAGAAATTTTGAGTTGGGCATTACATTTTGGACTTCAAATCTGGGCCCAGACGGGTCCATTTGGATAGTGTTCCAATCTGAGCCCTTTTTGGTAGCAATTTTTTGTCCGTTATTTTACTATTCCAATAACTATTTTTGACTTTTTTATTCATAAGTAGAATTCACTTTCTCTCTAATGGTCAAAAAATCAATTCTCGTAATCACTACTAAACAAACATTAACTCAATAATCAAATCAACTGTTTGAGTTGGGTGAAATTTAACGTTGAACCCACTCTTCCCTAATAAGTGGATCGATTGATTGAGTTCCATCTCGGGTTTCATTATACGATTTTTAAGTTAAGGCCAAACATATTTTATTCATTATACTATTTCGAGTGATTCAAACAAAAATAAAATTTCCAACTTTGATGGATGGATGAAAGTGACTGAACATCGATCATGTACATTCAACTTGGTATACGCAAGTATGCGACATACTAGAATTAAAATCCTAATGTGGAACATTATTTAATAGTATTTCAGTAACAACATTTTCTACTGAGTATTTGGATGACGAGCAAATTTTAGCACGACTATTAATTATTAAAGCAGGATTTATAAACAGTTTAAATTATAAATAGAAAAAATGAATGGTCAATAAATAAATAGTGCAAGTATTTTTGGATTCCACAATCCTCAAAATGTATAAATAATAAGTGTTAGATTATTGATAAATTATTTATAAACATGAGTCAAACATTAACTTCTATCAAACATCTTATGGCTTTTGAAGCTACTAGCGACGGCATTTTACGTAGCACACGACTGCCCAACACCCTGCCGCACAACTTTATTGAAAATCTATGTAAAAAAATTTATATATAGCTCTTAAAAATCTATATTTTGATATTCAACGATTTATTCATTAATATGCGCCGCGAGATGGTGATACATTTGAATAAATCAATTCTTTAAATTTTCGTGTTGATTTGAGTTTTAATCGTATTGAATTACTCTTTGGAACTTAAGAACTTTGATATCATATTAAAACACTGGTCGAATTGTTTGTTAAGAGAACTGGCTTAAGCCCTAATACATTGATCTATAGAGGTGGAATTTATTTAAGGTTGGGGTTCAACTTTTTTTATAGAGGTGGAATTTATTTTTTAACAAGCTTCAGACCCCCGCACAAGCCAACCTCCAGCTCCACCCTGGAAACCTAATCCACCATCTTGGCATCCACCTCCTAACCCAGAACTTGCACCAAACCCTGCTTCTCTGCCACCCAGTCTGGCTCCGCCTGGAAGTCCACTGTGCCCTCCAAAATCCCCGCCATAAAGAGGAAAGTGGTGATGAAAGAATGTCCTCTATCATTGAACTGTTTAAAACACAATTATCTTTCCATCAAATCACTTCACGCCACCTAGGATTTTGGCTCTATTAGTTTTCTTATATCAAAGTAACATTATTCATTAAACTAACTCTAGCCAAATTAAAATACCCTTTTTATTCCTAATTAACACACCACTTCATTAGACATCTGTGAATTTATTTTACTTATTAGAAGCTATAAATATAATCCATGCATAATGTTATCAAAATCGGATCGGAAAGGCCAATTCAACCAAGACCTAACACATAAGAATTAGATACTTGCCGCTACACTAGACCCGACTCATCCTACAACACCCACCCTTTCTTCTTTGGTCCATCCGATCAATGCATTCGCTTAAACGAGAGAAAATTTCAAGATATATGGACATTAAAATGAGGAAATTAAAATAAATACTTCCTGCAGCATGAAATCCCAAGTTTACATTGGTCTAAAATAGGTTTTAAACTCTTAACCAATTAATTAGTTATATTCATATCATACAGATTAACCAAGAGTTAGCTCAAGAGAAACATCTTTGGCACCGTCCTTGGAGACGGATGATTCTAAAGCTAATTTCAAAGGCAAAGTACCCACAGATTCTTCTGCCAAGGAATTTGGAAGCCACTTGAAACTGTTACCATCCTCCACTGCTGCCAACATTTGTTTCTTCGACTCACCACCCTGAAAATATAAAGCATAATTAGAGCCACTGAATTTCCTCATTGAGACATTCTTGATTCTTGCTAAATTGGATGCATGGTTGAGTCTGAGAATGAGTTAAAGAGAAGTGTTTAATTATTACTTGAGAATTGGAGCTGCCCAGAAAGTCCTTGAACATGATAGATTTTGAAACAGTGAATCCATGTTCATATCCTCGTGTTGTTACATTGGAGTATGCTAATGGCAGAAAAGTGTTCTTTTTGTCTGATTTCTGTTGGAGCTCTTGCCTTCAAATCAAAGCATCGAGAAAATCATACCTAGTAATTTCTTAGAGAACGCTAAAATATAATGTTACTAAAAATCGTACTTAACAGAAGAATGATGACATAGAAGTTTGACGAACCATGTCGCTGGCCCGGTGGAGGCTCTTGGGGCAATCTCCAAATCGCAACAACTCCCGCGATTTTCATCGTGGAACGTGTTGTTACTAATGAATCCCTGACGGTAAAATTGTTGACGGTTTGTTTGCTGGGAATAGAAGTGACGGGAACTGTTTGAACAATTTGAATGAGTCGATTGCACATTCATGTTCCTACCCGCAGCTTCTGCTTCTGCAACATGAAACCCTACATTAGTACTATAAAGAAATCGTTAATGATATGTTTGATATATTGAATTGCACGTAATTAAAGAAGAAAAACTCATATATAGTTTTGTGGGTTTCAGTGGCAGTAGTCATCCGCCGGTTACAAGTGGATGAATACAAAAGCAGTTGACCACAATTGTCATTTACATGCCTCATCACATTAAGCATGCCACAGGGATTAGTTGGCAAAACATGATTATTAAATAATTCACATTAAGCCCCCTGTTTAATTTAGATAAAAATAAGATTTTTATTAGATTTTGATAAAAATTGATAAAGTGTACGGTTGAAAAGTTGTGAATCCCATTAAATTACAGTGTTAATTTTGAATTGAATTTTAATCTACTTTTTAGTGGAACCAAACATAGACTAATTATCTAATATTAATTAATAGAATAATGTTATTCGTAACCAAGGTGACCAACAATCTATGTGAATATGGGATACTGTCCGCTAAACAGAACTACATTGCAATTGTATTGGGCAACTGCTACGGACCTTACTGCCACATAAACTATGTTCATCACCGTCGTTAATAAATAACATTTGTCTATTTATAATAAATAATATTATTTAACACCGTAACACTAGTACTCTAATTGACAGTAGGGCTACAGCCCACATTGTTAGATGAATAAATACGTAAATGAATAGTTTGGACAATGTGATAATAATTGTGCTGTCACCTAAACAAATGCTAAAAACCACTTATATTATATAACATAATTCAACTAAAATACATGTACGAAAAGTTACTTTTTTTAGATAAGAACATCGACAACAAAAATATATCGTCAATGAACACAAACATTCAATGTGAGAGATAAGTTGAGATGAAAGTTTCTTTTTATAAATACACACTTAATTTGGCAATTGTGTGTGTGTGTGTGTGTATATATATTGTATCATCTGCTCATGCTTTGTGCTTCTGTACATCTGTCCACGAGAGATTAATGAGATATTAGATTACATCCACGAAAATCTATATATTTTATATTTATTTATAAATAGTAAAAAACTGGTTACGTCATAATACAAAAAGTCTTCCATGGTGACGAAGGAGGGTTCTTGTCTTCAAACCTGAAGGTGACTCTTTACGTGAGTAATTGTTAACCCCTTCACATTCATCAACTCCAGCACCATTTTTGGAGTAGCTCCTACCAAAAAAAGATTAACAAAATTAATTAATCAATTAATTTCAACTGAATTATAAGTTTCTACTTTCTATTTTCATGCACATGCAAAATCATCGAATAAAAAGCTTACTGTCTTCTCCACCGAGTCGCTCAACAGCGTGCACGAAGCATTGATGAAGATCCTGTGTCCATCTCAATCGAGGCATTTTCGACCTAACATAAGGCCTAACACCCGCTGGTCGAACCAGCATGGTCGGGGCCAGCCTGTTTTCCATCGGCCACCGTGAAACAGCCCTAACGGAGAATTCATCTCGATCTTTGATGTTAGCAGCGGAGAGGGAATTGGGAGAATCCATTAGAGAATTTTCTTCTTGGCGAGTTAGTCTATGTCACTACAAAAGAGAATAAATATTTGGGATGGCTGTTGTCATATTTTGTCTATTTCTGCAGCTTTTTAGAGGGTCTCAGGGTCAGTTTAGTCTTTTGAAATTTGATTGTGTAGCAGAAAAAATTCTCCACAGAATTCTGGACCCTTGGATAAGTTCAAATATGCGTTCATGATTGGGTGAAAATTGAGCAGTGAAAACTTTAACTGAAAATTGGGCATCTGAAAAGTAAAATTACCTTTTAAGACGTGCCTAGGACCCTCAGTTTCATTATCAAAACATTCTTGTGTTGAAAATTTTGAACAAAGATGATTTTTTCATTCTACTTCTGACAATTCAGTACCAGTTACAGCAAATGCAACCCTGAGAAAAGAAAGTTTTGTCATTCAGGTCAAGTTTGGCATCTTAGCTACCGAAACAGTAAAATGGATAAGATTTTATTTATGTTTTATGGTAATGTCGAGTCCGTGATATGCATAAAGAATGTTATTTTAAGGTTTGTTTCACGTTTAATATTTTTATATTGAATGCGATGGTTCAATTTCATTTATTCCATTGTAACTTGTTAGGAAATTGGCGGTGGCACTTGACTCTATGCTCCTCGATGTGCTTCTTTCCCGACTATGTTAGGATATTCGTAGTTGGGTCGATTGTATGCCATGTTTTCTCTGTGTGTAGTTTGGGGCAATTTGCGGTAATGAAATTTCTTGCTTACCTCAAAAAAGAAATCCACAAAATTATTTTAAGTTAATTACTAATAAGAATTTTTATTATGGGATTTCTTTTCTTTTCTTTTATTTTCTTTTCTTTTCTTTTCTTTTCTTTTTTTTTTTTTTTTAATTTGGTGAGGTTCAACTACTCCTATTAATTCTGAACAACTGACGGTTACAGCAACATATTGCAATTAATTATAAAAGGCCAATGCAGAATTTATTGAATAGGGAATTGTTTATTATGGTAAATATATGGTAACTATAGTTGGTCTGTTCAGCCTCGTTCTTTCCGTAAGCAGCGCGATCATATTTTGATTGTTAATAATTATGAAATTCTTTTAATAATTCTAAGCTTAGACTACGAATATTCAGGGTAATGCTATTTATCATCACAATGTTTTCTTGGCCAAAAATGATATCAATAAATTAGGTCACACGTCTCTATATTTCCTTAGATTTTGGACCTATCATTTATTGCATTTGTATATAGCCGAGCTATTTTCACTCCTCATGATAAACATTCTTATCAAATCGTATGGTATGCGGCACTTTTGGCAATCGTTCAATATCGAGTAAGTTTTTCTACTACATGTTACTGTAAATATTCTTATCGTATTCGAATATACCAAATTATAATATAATTCAATAAATGCAGTCTATTAAAGACAAAATTCAAATAAATAAATGTGTTTTACACATTTTTGTTAAACATAGTATACTAGACAAATTTCAAAGATCAAATGTAACATCTTTTTCTATTTGAAAATGGTGCACAATTTAAGCCTTTGATTTAAAAACATGCAAGGCGACGGAATGAAGATAATTTAAATAAATAAATGTAACCTCTTTGTAAGAGATTCAATTTTTAAATTAAGTGATTAAGCATACATATTTTTCTTGAATTCTACTCTAGATAGCCAAATTAATTTTGTTATTATTTTGCATTCATTTTAACATATAGACAAATTGTAAGTCCATATATGGTTAAAAAAAAAAAAAAAATGGAAGAACTATAGTTGGGGTCGCAAACCTTTTAAATTGTTATAGATTATACTCAAACCTTTTATTTTACAGTTCGGGTCCAAAACCTTTCGTCTTCATTGCAGCTGAAGGACATATGGACGGAATTCATCCATTTGATCATCAATTGACCAAAAGTTAACAGTCTAACCTTTCGGGTCCCAAACCTTTTGTCTTTATTGCAGTCGAAGGACATGTGGACGAAATTCATCCAATTGATCATCAATTGACCAAAAGTTAACAGTGTAACCAAACGATTTATTTTATTTTATTATTTTATATGATTTGGTCAGATTGTTGACTTTTGATCAACTAATGATCAGATGGATAGATTTCATCCATATGTCCTCCAGCTACATTCAAGATGAAAGATTTGAAACCCCGGCTACAAAAGTAAAAAAGTTTGGATATAGTTTACAATAATTTTAAAGGTTTGGGACCCCAGATGCGATTCTCCCTAAAAAAGGGTGAAAAATTAGTTAAATCATAATTATTTCGCGTGACCATCCAAGAATCAAAAAAATTAGAAAATAATAGGAAAGGACAAATAAAGAGGTGGGGGTGACATAATCATATAGCAAATGCATCTCCTTAGGGAAACATACCAAAAATACTAAAATTCCAAAGTCTTGAATCTAGAGAGCATTCCTCCCTCTAATCTGGCTGAAATTTAAAGTAACATAAATTGATCATTAATTTTGATAAATGCCACATTCACCGAACCAATAAAACCATTCACAAAATCACACATTTAACGAATCAATCACGCATCGTCCCTTAGGTGATGACACGTCCACCGCTAGATGTCACAGTTGTAACAAGACTGCGTCAACTATGGTGGAATTCTAAGGTTCATACGTTTGCAAATTTTAGAATTTTCTTAATTTCAACTACCAAAATTAATGAACCAGAACCAAATTGCATATTGGGACTCGGATAAAATGCAGATACGATTTCAAAGTTGGGGGAAGAGGAAATATTCGCTGTGACAGACTATGTGAGGCATGGACAAGCGTCGTTTGATGGTTGGGGTAAATCGTATTTTTAAATAAATATGCAAAAATATGACTGAATATTTGTCCATTATTTTTAAAGTATACCGATAGAATTTTTAGATAAAAGCATCATCAGAGACAACATGAACTAATGAATGAAAAATTGATAATAAAAATACGAGTAAAGGTTATAGTCTTTTAATGCAATTAAAATATATTGTATTTATACAAAACTGAAGTTAATAAAATTACCCCACAGTAATTACTAATAATTCTTGTAAGTCAGTAAAAAGATGCATAAGGAACGCAGGAGTGATAAAATTACTGTTTTTTTTTTCCATGGTAACTAGATAGAACAATTTGGTCCGTGTATTGGCCTTTTAACACCAGGACTAATAGGAGAAATTAATCATAAAATTATTCCAATAATTCAGACAAAATCAATTCAGAAAATTGATGCAAGTGATGAATACTCTAATAAATCAATATAACTCATAGCTCGAGTTGAGCTGCTTAAGTTATGGTTGTGCATTTCCCTTCCTGTGAATTCGGTCACCCTCTCGTGACAGATTTTAGGCCATCAGAGGGGTCGAGTGTGGTGCCCTCTTGCTCGGCCACAAAGAAGAGCATTCCTCGGAATAGGATATTCGTCCCTCCATGAAGTCGACGGGGTGTAAACCCTTAAGTAGAATTGCTGACCCAAGTACTGCCTTGCCCAGTTCTCAGACCTTATGTTCCACATTCCCACATTGTCCAAAGCTATGTATATTGCAGTCCAAGATTTTGGATACACCTGTGATTAGAACAAAATTCTTAGTAAAAGAAAACTGAAAGAACCAAGATTTGCTTTGTTGTTTTTAAACAAGTCTTGTCTTAATGTATACCTGAGTCGTACAACGGGCAACTGTGTCTCTCAAATTGTATCTTGACCTACTCGCAGCAGTCCACTGTCCACCATCCATTCTGTTCATTCACAGTATCAGCAAACTAATAAATCATCAAGAAAGAATGAGTGAATACCTCGTTCTTCAAAATCACAAATTTACTTACCCAACAACGAAGAAAGAATATCCATCAATGTGCCAAGACTGGACAGTATCCTCCCAATTTTGGAACACAATCTCAGCAAAAGATCGGTAATCAGCATGCATAAGAGAGGTTGCAAGATATCCTCCATTTCCCCATGGAGGTCTGTCAGGGATGCTTCCAATGCTGAAAACTCCTCCAATCTTAAAGTAGTCGGCCAACTTTAAGGGAGTGTCTGGGGAAACATATGATACACCGTTGACAGCATATCTTAGTTTGCCATTTATATATGGAGCAGAGTTAGCAAGAATAATGGTCCTAGAGGGCTTGATCATTCCATAGTGGTATGAGCCTTGAGGATTAGGTCTAGGTCCACTGGCTGTCAGATTCCAACTGATTTCAGAGTCAACAAATTAAGTAAAATTAGAAATGATCCCTGCTTTATTAGTATCAACTAAAAGAATTTACAGGCTATTTGAATTACCGTATTGATCTGGCCTGGTTCAAAGACGAAGCAATCTCAGTTGTTGGTCCACCAGGGGGAGGACCGGAAACTTTGGTAAATGAGTTGCTGTAATGGAGAACGGCAGTAGTGGTGAGCACTTTAGAGGTGAAGCGCGAGGAAACTACAATGTAATAGTCCTTTGCTGGCTGGTTGGCTGTGACCAAGACTGAATAAGACTGCCCTAAATGGATGTCGAGGGAAGAGTACATATTCTGAAGCGTGTGAGATCCTTCTACCTCAACTAGTTTCATTGAGTGTCCCTGGATTCTCAAGTTAATGGAAGTTGTAAGTCCGACATTCGATATCCTGAACCTGTAGGTTTTGCCTGCAGAAAGATATTGTGTGGATGAGGAAAGGAAAGCAGGCAAGAAACACAAGCTTATAATAATAAAAATTCTAACCAGATTACTTGATTAAGAAATTCGTGTTACCTTGATCAACTGTAAATGTGTATCCATTCCACCCTCGACCATTGATCAGAAGGCCATCGGGGAAGGGAAGATTGTGACCGGTATCCAAGAAATACTTCAGTTGCTGTAATAACAAAAGCAGCAGACAGCAAATTAGATGACACGTTTATGAGATCAAATTGCTGTGAAATCTTTAGGGAACATTTGGTGAGAAAAATTAAGCTAAAATCTTGTTTATCATACTCTCTATCCTACTCAATATCATATACCAAACATGCACTTAATTTTCGACAATATGCTAACCCTTTGACTTCTCTTGTACCAATCCCCAGCAAGGATGGCATAATCCCCCCCAGGAGGAGGGAAAGGCACTGGAATTCGAGGACGGCTGGAAATTTTGATGCTACCATATCCTCCTGCAGCCTTATGGAGTGCAAGTGATGGAAAGTAGAAATAGGTGCCTATCTGGTCCTTCGCTTGAAGGACGTAAGTGAAGTTTTTCCTCCGTGGAATCGGACAGGTAGTACCATAAACTCCATCCTGCCATGAGTTCCTCCTTTGCTGTAAGCCATTCCTAAAAAACAATGGTGATTTGAAAATCAACTATATATAGCCAGAGGCCTCAACGTGATTCAAACATTGATTATAACATCCTTCCATGCTCTTTGCTCCACAGATTTTAATCTAGTTGTTTATGCAGGATTTGTAACACAACAATGTACTATAATTTGCAATTGCATCCTCACAACTACATTAAGAATCAAGCTCAAGTTCACAGAGGAATAACTTATGGTGTGCGAGCACAACTCTTTCTGGCACTTTCAACTGGAGAAAAATATAAGTTAAAATGTATTTTATTTGTCTTTCTAAGCCAAGAAAACTATGAATTCTCCAGTGTGATGGCACCATAAACACTGAACTGTAATTGATGTCTTGCATATTGAAACTCAATGACTATGAATTTCACCTCGTTAAAAGAAAAAGTTTGTTTTATTTATTATATTCCTAAACAATGCAACTTGATGTTGAACTAATAAATGATACATAGCTATATATGGCCCTACATTAGCATGCTACTTCACGTGTCTCACATGGATTAATTTACATATAAGCTTAATGACAAATATAAAAACCCATTATGTGGTGGATGTCAGAGATCTAGCATGTGCATACAGCACAGTGATAATCCTTAAACCTTATGTTTGTGCCCTAACATTAGGGCCGACAGAAAGCATGTTTGGCTAAGCCCAAGAGAGTAAAAGTACTCATTTTGACAACAGTAACTTCTTCAAAAGTTCAATTTTTCTTAAAAAGTAAAATTACTTATTTTAGGCTTGGCCAAACATGCTCTTTAGAAGAAAAGTTGCTTCAACCAAATCCCTTGAGGCTCAAAATGGCACAAGCTGCATCTCTTACTAATATTCTTCAGAAAAAATTCATACCAGAAGAACCCTTTTTCTCTGTCAAATGACATTGATATTCCAAGCTAAATCTCAAATCTAAATACCCCAACTCAACTCCATTGCCATTACAAAAACATAATGGAAATTGAATAGATCTGCCACATTTTACAGTTAATACAAAATGTTCTTTAACTAGATAGAACGCAGCCGGAGGGTGGGGGTGGGGAGAGCAATGCTTTACCAAGAAAGGAGAAAGGGCTCATTCAAGTAGTTGTAAACACTGATAATCAAGTTATCATTGGTGACACAGTCAATCTGTGGCCCTGGAAACTGCCCATTTATCAAAATTCCCTGCACCACCATTTTTTATCTTCAGGAACAACAGTATATTCAAGAAAATCCAAGAAACAACACACAGTACATTGTGAAGGGCATTAGTACCTTTTGTTTGACACCCAGAGGATAAATGTCACCATAAGTGATTTTCCAAGTGTAAAATCGATAAGGGTCTTCGCCATTTACATTGTGTAAAAGAATCAGCATTATAAAAGCACTGGTGAGAGAATACATACTGCCATACTCTCTCATTCTCTTCTTCTTCTTGAAAAAAAACTCCTTTTTTCCTTTGTTCCTCAATACAGAGTTTTTGGCAATGAAATAGACAGAGTGAAGAGGCAAAGAATGGCGTTCCACACCTTGTATAATGAGAAGAGTGTACTCTCAATGTCTTCTTCCGTTGTCACGGTCACGTGCTGAAAACTAACAGTTTCTTTTTCTTAATATATTTTACCAGACAATCCAAATTCTTATCTGATTTATTTGTTTGCGTTTGAAAGAAAAATGCTCTCACCTTTTTGCTTGCAATTTTGCCTTCTTATAAAAGTAGCAGGCTTGATTTTTCTGCAACTCGCTTAATAAATTTGATAAAAACATAATTTTACTAAAAAAAAAATTGAACGTTTATGATTAAAACACATTTATTCACAATTGGGTAACATTTGGATCTAAGCGCTTAAATTTGCCCGTGCTGATTTTGATGTTTATTGTTTACTCGAGCTTGAGCCCTATTTTTTGAGAATTAAAAAAATATCGATTTAAGTAAAAATTAATTTTATTGGAAGAATGTCTATGAAAATAAGTTCAGAAAAATATTAGTTCTAAAGAATGGGTCTTGAACATGGACTTATGGGGACCAATATACTAAAAAATGCAATTGCGATTCAAGGATTTCAAACGCAAGACTTGTTATGTTTTAACTTTTCCTTTTTTTAGAATTATACGGTTAGTTCTCGAAGCATTGCCTGAATAACAAGTTAGTATTCACGAGTGACAGTTATTCCTAAAAAACAATGGTGATTTGAAAATCAACTATATATAGCCAGAGGCCTCAACGTGATTCAAACATTGATTATAACATCCTTCCATGCTCTTTGCTCCACAGATTTTAATCTAGTTGTTTATGCAGGATTTGTAACACAACAATGTACTATAATTTGCAATTGCATCCTCACAACTACATTAAGAATCAAGCTCAAGTTCACAGAGGAATAACTTATGGTGTGCGAGCACAACTCTTTCTGGCACTTTCAACTGGAGAAAAATATAAGTTAAAATGTATTTTATTTGTCTTTCTAAGCCAAGAAAACTATGAATTCTCCAGTGTGATGGCACCATAAACACTGAACTGTAATTGATGTCTTGCATATTGAAACTCAATGACTATGAATTTCACCTCGTTAAAAGAAAAAGTTTGTTTTATTTATTATATTCCTAAACAATGCAACTTGATGTTGAACTAATAAATGATACATAGCTATATATGGCCCTACATTAGCATGCTACTTCACGTGTCTCACATGGATTAATTTACATATAAGCTTAATGACAAATATAAAAACCCATTATGTGGTGGATGTCAGAGATCTAGCATGTGCATACAGCACAGTGATAATCCTTAAACCTTATGTTTGTGCCCTAACATTAGGGCCGACAGAAAGCATGTTTGGCTAAGCCCAAGAGAGTAAAAGTACTCATTTTGACAACAGTAACTTCTTCAAAAGTTCAATTTTTCTTAAAAAGTAAAATTACTTATTTTAGGCTTGGCCAAACATGCTCTTTAGAAGAAAAGTTGCTTAAACCAAATCCCTTGAGGCTCAAAATGGCACAAGCTGCATCTCTTACTAATATTCTTCAGAAAAAATTCATACCAGAAGAACCCTTTTTCTCTGTCAAATGACATTGATATTCCAAGCTAAATCTCAAATCTAAATACCCCAACTCAACTCCATTGCCATTACAAAAACATAATGGGAATTGAATAGATCTGCCACATTTTACAGTTAATACAAAATGTTCTTTAACTAGATAGAACGCAGCCGGAGGGTGGGGGTGGGGAGAGCAATGCTTTACCAAGAAAGGAGAAAGGGCTCATTCAAGTAGTTGTAAACACTGATAATCAAGTTATCATTGGTGACACAGTCAATCTGTGGCCCTGGAAACTGCCCATTTATCAAAATTCCCTGCACCACCATTTTTTATCTTCAGGAACAACAGTATATTCAAGAAAATCCAAGAAACAACACACAGTACATTGTGAAGGGCATTAGTACCTTTTGTTTGACACCCAGAGGATAAATGTCACCATAAGTGATTTTCCAAGTGTAAAATCGATAAGGGTCTTCGCCATTTACATTGTGTAAAAGAATCAGCATTATAAAAGCACTGGTGAGAGAATACTTACTGCCATACTCTCTCATTCTCTTCTTCTTCTTGAAAAAAAACTCCTTTTTTCCTTTGTTCCTCAATACAGAGTTTTTGGCAATGAAATAGACAGAGTGAAGAGGCAAAGAATGGCGTTCCACACCTTGTATAATGAGAAGAGTGTACTCTCAATGTCTTCTTCCGTTGTCACGGTCACGTGCTGAAAACTAACAGTTTCTTTTTCTTAATATATTTTACCAGACAATCCAAATTCTTATCTGATTTATTTGTTTGCGTTTGAAAGAAAAATGCTCTTACCTTTTTGCTTGCAATTTTGCCTTCTTATAAAAGTAGCAGGCTTGATTTTTCTGCAACTCGCTTAATAAATTTGATAAAAACATAATTTTACTAAAAAAAAAAAATTGAACGTTTATGATTAAAACACATTTATTCACAATTGGGTAACATTTGGATCTAAGCGCTTAAATTTGCCCGTGCTGATTTTGATGTTTATTGTTTACTCGAGCTTGAGCCCTATTTTTTGAGAATTAAAAAAATATCGATTTAAGTAAAAATTAATTTTATTGGAAGAATGTCTATGAAAATAAGTTCAGAAAAATATTAGTTCTAAAGAATGGGTCTTGAACATGGACTTATGGGGACCAATATACTAAAAAATGCAATTGCGATTCAAGGATTTCAAACGCAAGACTTGTTATGTTTTAACTTTTCCTTTTTTTAGAATTATACGGTTAGTTCTCGAAGCATTGCCTGAATAACAAGTTAGTATTCACGAGTGACAGTTACCCTCAAGCGCACTTCAAGTTAGTGGATACATTTATAAATGATTAATTATCTCCCATTTTTGGTACATTTCATGAATGTAGGCAATTATTTGAATATGTATTTAACAATAGACTTTGTTAAGTTGAACGCAATTCTCTTGCGTTCTTGATATACATACATATATATATATAGACACACACAAAATCGAGAGCTAACTTAAAAGTTGAGTGAGTTATCTCTCTACAAAGGTCACATGATAACTTAATAAAATTTTGAACTCTTTTTATTTGTGAGTATTCATGAGATTATTAAGGGCCCGTTTGGTAGGGATTTTGAGAATTGATTTTTTGACCGTTAGAAGAAAAGTGGGGTCCACATGTGAGAGAAGAAGTCAAAAATTACGGCTTGAATAGTAAAATAACGGTCAAAAAATCAATTTTTGGGGGCAAAAAATTCCTACCAAACGGGGCCTAATTGTGAAACTATAATTAAAGTTGAAATTAATTTGTATTATTCCTTTATCATATATATTTATGCATTCATTTATATTGGAACCCATTTATCAAAAGTTTAAAATTTGAATCTGTTCATTACTTAAAAATTGAGGATCGTACATTCAATTTCTCCTTTAAATATTGTCTTAAGAGATCGAAATCATTAACTATAAATTATTAACTTATTTTAATTTTAAAACAAACTTTGCGGTGGATCAATCATCTCATTAATTGCGTGCACATGCATGAACGCAAGAAAGGATCTAGATGTTCATTGCCCTTATTATTGAATATATTTTTTTTAAGAATAAATCTAGTCAGATAGGCTAAAAAATTGAGATTCAAAGACAGATTGATTTGACAGAAAGTGATTGGCTGATTCTTATTTTGTTATTTTTCAAAGTGTCCAATCATGCTTCNAGGTAATTAGATTCAAAGTACAGTAATTATGCTTACCTTTACAACTGCCATGACCTGCAAATTTCCCAAGAACAAAAGGGTATACTTAGAGATCATAAATAACTGCAGCATGAATATGAAATAATTGGAGCCGTGGATGGCTCGACTACAAATTTTAGTTTATAATGCACAAGTAAAAATTTTCTAGTAAGACGGTGCCTTCTATTGCAAGACAACGTAGAATTAGAATTGGACTTTTTCGATGGAAAATTATAATCTGCAAACAAACCGCTAGTGTTCTTTCCACCATCCAATTTGAAATGGGATGGTTTGCTTATGTGGTACTGCCCAGATTTTCGATTTACTAGCCCGTGAATTGTTGCCTAGTGTGGTACAGCATTGAAAAGATATATCGAAATTCTCATTGCCATATAGTATCCTCAAAAATAAAAATAAACTGAAGGCGTGTTCGATATATATTATAAGACATGACTGGCAATACTTCAAGATTTTAGTTTCTTCTTTTTAACAAGATCTAATCTTATCCCATCCACCTTACCTGACAAACAGTGAAGGAACCTTCTCTTCTCATAGAACTCCCATATTTCTAGAAGACAAGTAAACAATTAATCATAGCTTAACACTCAACATTATATCTAACAGTATACTTAACAACCAAACATTTAAATAGAAATTTCTTTTGTGTCTTTTCACCAGAAAATTCAAAGTTTCAAACATACAATCAATGTGCCGGGGCTGGAATCCATTGTTGTCAAGTGAATCACTTACTTGGATCTGTGGTAGTGATCATGGCCACACCCTTGAAATCACAAGAACCGGGAGAATTCCCTTCCTTTTGGTAATAACTATTGAAGGCACAAGAAGCGTGGTTCTTCACGTTATTAGGCTGGTAACAACTCTCCAGGCTGAATCTCCGAGCAATTTGCCCTACCTGCTCCACATGCCCAATACAAAGCAGCCTGCAATGTTTTTGTATCAATGTCATCCATGGCTATGCAATAGGTTTGATGTGTGGTGTCACTGGCCAAAAAAGTACCACTGCCCGACACGCGAAGCAAGTAAACATGGGTCGAATTCCCATAGAACAGTCCCCAGCTTGCCTCAGACACAGGAGAAGACCTCAAATCCTCATTAAACAACTCGAATACATACAAGCTAGAAGTAACTTCAGGATGCAATGGCGTTCCACTATGATAGAAAACGCACTTAATCAAATTCGAATTGTAAGTGTCTGCATTTCTCAATGGTAGCATAAGGTTCCTTCCATTCCCCTTTCGAAGGCCACCCAATTTCAGTAATAAGAACTACCACGTCAGTAACATTAAGGTTCTTCATAGAAAAATACACTGAATCTATCATGGCATCAAGAATACTAGTATAGTGGAGCAAAGTATTAGAATCAACCGTTTCTTTAGAGGGTGTCAAAGGCTTAAACAAAGAATTATCCAAAGGCACAATACCCTTATTCTCCATGAACACATGGTAAGGATATAAATTCATCATCAAAGGTGACTGGGTCCTAGAACAAAATTGCAATATTGGGAAATGACAGGGCTCAAACTCTAATTAGAAAGGCTTGGGAGGGTGGGAAAGGATCAAGAACAACGGAAACAGCATTTGGAGTCGAAATCTTGATTAGGTTATGCAAATTTGCAGACACAAGAACACTTGAGAGTGACTCAATTGCTGGCATAAGCAAAGGAGCTGAGATTGGAATAGTAGTCAACGCCTCATCACCACTGCCACCGCGGTGATGAGCGTTTCTGGGTAGTACGCCGCCACATTGCGGTCAATCCAAGCGGCGACTGTGACATTGGAAGACCCTATAGGAAGAAGCTGGTTATTGGGCACACTAACAATGACCCTAATCTTAGTTTTTGCAAGTGCTTTAAGAATTTTAGCATCAGCATCATACAATCTAACATGGGTTATCTTTTGTAACTGAAAAAAAGAAAACAAATCTGTTGGTGCAAGCAAATTTGACAAGTCTGTGCTTATGTTCACTCCCACATACGGCTCATCTTTCTCATGCCGTACCTTAATCCCTGCATACAGAAAATACACAAATTAACTACATTTGTCATAACTAACAACATATTAATGATTGAAATGAGTTTCTTGAAATGGGTTCTTGGAATTACCATTACCATCGGAGAATGGTGTGGGCAGGAGAGAAATGATGAGCAAAAGCAGAGTGAGGATAAAGGTTAGGTTAAGATTTTCCATTAAAAAAAAGCTTCAAATTTTCTTGAATCATTTTCTGGTTCTAAATCGGGAAGGCTAATTGCATTATTTTGCAAGTTTTTGTTAATTTACTGGTGAATTGAAAGTAATATTTAGTTCGGTGTTTGCTAGATTTCTTCTCTGTTTGATTCTGGTTGACCATAATGGCCTTGTCTACCGACATTGAGTTTTTTCTTTATTAAGGATAAAAAATGGAGCAAATTTTAAAATAATATTTATGGCCCTAAAATGTGTGTTAAAATCAGGATACA